AGTGGATTTGTGCTGTGGTGCACAGAGACAGTAGAAACAAACAAAATAGTGGAGACAGAGCCAGTAATAAGAAGCTCCTTGGTTGAGGATTTGAGATACTTGACCTAGGCCACATTGTGGGTATTTGTAGGATAATCAAGTAGGAAAATGTGCTTCAATACTTTTTTTTCCCAGGCCTTGTAAAGCCTGGCTATGGCCCTGGCAGAAAGTGTAAATATGTTATAACAAAAGAGTACAAAGCACAGAATAGAGCTCTGTCTGAGCACTCTATCATGCCTTGCGTGGTTCTGAAATAGCATACCGATCCCAAGTATTTTTCCCAGTTTTGCAAATTAAGGCCACTTGTTCAGTTTGGAACCTAAATATCAATAGAAAATAATAATATAATAATAATAATAATAATATAATAATAATATAATAGAAAATAAGTCATGTTTGCATCACAGGCTTGAAAGCATTTATGGCCACATCTATATTAGTTATTTTCAAGGGATGCTGGTTATTTTAAAACACAAATGCAAACACACACAAGTTACTGTGCTGTAGTAATATTTATGAGCAAGTGCCAACACTGTAAAATCCTGGCAACCTGGAAATCAATGAGAGCTTTGCCATTGATCTCCTTGGAGCCAGGATTGACGTTAAAGCTGTTGTTCAGATCAGTGAAGTTAAAATGTGTATAAAGGGTTTGTAGGACTATGATAAAGTCACAAGATCAAAAGCTCATCCTGAGCCTAGCGGTTGATCTGTTTTGAGTGTTTAAGGCATGCCAGTTTTGTAGCCAATGGCACCCATAGTAGTGATTTGACTGGCATATTGTCTGGCCATTTTTGACTCTCTAGGCTGAAGGCCCAGATAGCATAAGGTATAATGGTTGAGTGGTTGAAGCGTCTCTTTAAGGAACCAGAGGTCTGAGTTTGAGTTTTACTTGAGACTTCTGCTACTAAATGGCACCTCTAGCTGATGTAGCTGGACTTCAAACAAGATGTTTTAATGACTGCAGGACTGGACCCTGGGGCATGTCACAGCACAATTTGTGTTCTAATTACACTTGGTTTTAGGGATCCCTTTAAGTGAGCTGGAAATGGAGAGGGGACTCCACTTTTACTGTGAGGCCCCTAAGGGTGTGGCGCACAGTTGTCTCTAGACACATTTAATCTCTCCTAGTACTAAATATTTTTCTTTCCAAGATGTTCATTAATTTTACTACCGTTGTCCCTTTTCTGTAGCACATGCCCTTGCTCCTAACCCAGTTTTGCTTAGAGGGTGATTTTAAAAAAAATTTATATTATGCTGTTTGTATCTTTATTGACTCATATTTTACTGTATTTATTATTGCAATGAATCTTGGTGTAGTAGATAAGTAAAACTATTATTAAAAAATGAATTCATTTGAATCTGTCCAAATCCTTTTGGATCTCTGAACAAATGCAGTCAAACTGATTGATAAATTGGTCCCAAGTTGGAATTTCATGACACACAGTAGAATGGCTGGTAGCTGCAGTAGAAGTATCTGTTGATACAATTTTTTCCTAAAATATTTATGAAACTGTCTATGGCTGTTATTAGTGTCTCTAATAGTTTTATATAGGTTCTTTACAAAAGCCTGAGGTAATGTAATGCTTATGACTATACAATACAATACTTTTGATTGTAAGGAAATGGCTAATTTTCAACATAGGGCATCAAGTATCAAGAGAAGGAAACCCTGAACACACAGCATTGCCACGTACATGATTTGGTGTAAGTCACAAATTATGTTTTTTCTTTCTGGTTACCACTTTCTCAAGTCCTTCAGTTTGTTTCCTGACTAGTTCCATCTAGTAAATATAGTATTTTATAAGAACTGTAGGAACAGTAAGTGGTACAGAAACATGCAACATGAAGGATCTGAAGTACTTTGCTTGTGTATGGAAAAGATCATATGTGATCTTCCTGTTATCTTAGCATGTGGTACAAATATGATTTCAAGGAGCTAACAAACTTTGGCTACAGGAGGCTTCCTTATTTTACTTATTGTACTGACTTTGAAGTTTCACTGATACCTCCAAGGGACATTCAAAAAAATAATTTATGTGTTTTTATAGGATTCAATCCTGCAATGTACTGAATGTCCTGAACTCATAGATCCAGTATCAATAAAGTATTTAGCCTGTACCAGTCTTAAGGGTGAAATCCTGACTTCACTGAATAGTCAGTGGAAGTTCTAACATTGACTTCAGTGTAGTCAGGATATTGCCCAGAGAATAGAAGTTGTCCCACTGGGGCTTAACGTTTGTGGTGTGCTCACTGTACCTTACTGAATCAAGAGCTGATGGCACTCAGTACTCTCCAGAATAAAACCCATCATTTCTGTTATCTTTCCTGTTTTCTGTTCTTGAAGACATGGACCTAGAAAGTGGCTTTTTGTTATTTGTCTATTAAGCTTCCCCCTATATCCATTGCTTACTCTATACTTGAATTAATAATCCTCTCTGACATCATGCACTATGGCTTCCTTGTAGTAAACAACTATGTATGTGATAAAAAGGAAATATGAAAATTAGGATCTGGGCCAAATTTTTGGTTCCTCAGAGGAAGATTGTGACCTCAGGTGGGGAGTAAGCAGCAGCAGCTTTTAAGAAGTGAAGAGTGTGGTACTGATATTTTCTCTATAGTCCTCAAAAAAAAGTCTAGAGACAGAAAAATGTTGTCTAAGAAAAAAATTCACATGAAATCAAATACATCAGGCTTTAACTTTAAAAAGTTAGACTCCTACAGCTACCCTTTTCAGCTGTTGCTGACTTTCATGATTTTATTGTGACTGTCATGATGATATTTGGTGTTTTTCTTTAAGCTTCAAGTCCTGGACTCCTATTAACACGTGACTCGTTTAGCTTTCTTTGTAAAGAAAAGAAATTTTCTAGCCCTCTTGGTTGCAGAGAAAAGCTTGATGTGACCCAGGTACACTATAAAGGATCAACCATGAGAAGGCAAATAAGAACAGGCTGATTTATATCCATGCTATATATATGTGTGTGTACTAATATAAGAGCTCATATGTTTACACTGTGCCATGATTTTTGGAGGTTATAGATTCATGATTGTTGAATACTTGAGTCTGGCTAAAACACAGCAAAATAAAAATTCATCCTCTTCTCAGAGAGCTACTTCATTAACTGTTTTCAAATTCAGCTTGGTTCAGCTTTTAATAGAATTCTTCCTAGTCTGGTCTTATGGTAGCTATTTCTTTAAATCTGGGAACATCGAGCACCTGCTGTACTAGTGGCCATTTTATATTTGACTGCTTGTAAGTACTTTTTGTTCCAATTATTATTCTCCTTACATTTTTCCTTTCATCCTGTTTTGAAGAGGGGGAGGACATGCAGCATCAGAGGAGTACCATTTAAAAGCAGATTTTGCCTTCAGGCAATGATTGTTTATCTTTGCAAATTATAATGTTGAGATCCTCTTGTCATTTTTGCTATACACTTTCATTTTAGATGGATTTGCCAGTGACTCACTGCAATGTGACTGAAACTAACTGCTCTGAAGCTGCTACTGTAACAGTGTTCTTTATGAAGACTAAGAATCTTAAACTGCAAAATATTCTTTGTGGGCAGATGCTTATTGAAATCAAAGGGGTTTTATGCAGATACAGATATCTGCCTGGATAGATAGAACAGTTTGTATGTGGACTATGACAAAAATCCTACTAAAACAAAATACATATATTTATATTGCCTTAAAGTCCTGGCAAACAGTCAAACCCTAAGGATAAACATTACATTTAGAAGTTTGGGAGGTTAGATTGGGTAAAAAATGGCCTCCCAAACTAACTCAGTGACTCCTCACTTGAATCCTCTTCTTTGCAAATTAATTGCAGAACAGTACAGTCATTCCCAGGATCCCATCTACAGTCACACAGCTTACTTTAAATTGCATGATTGTAGATAAGGCGCTGGCTCTACAAATATTCACTGCTATCAGGAACCTGATCTCTAAGTAAGTTGAGGGGTGGGTTGGGTTGGGGCGGGGGCTAGTAGGTCTGTGGGGGAAAGGGGCTAGTCAGGATCAGTGGTGCTAATGAGCCTGCAGGGGGGGTGTTGGGAGGATTGGGGAGCCAGCGGGTCGTCTGATCCCAACCCCACTCCTGGATCCCATTAACCCCTCTGTGGACCTTCTGGCTCCCTGATCCCACCAACCCACCCCCATGGCAGAGCTGCTATCCCCTCATTCCTGCCCACCCCTCTCTCCACCCTGACTTACTTAGATTGGGCTTCCTGCGAATGTCTTTAACACTGGCATCAGGGGTGGTTTGGCAGGATCAGAGGCTAATGGATCGGGGTGGGGGAGTTGGCAGGATCAGGGAGGCTAGTAGGTATGTGGGGGGTGCCTGGTGCCTCTACACAGGTGGTTGTCCCCCCGGTGGGATTGGGGGAGGGGGGTTGTTGAGAGGCTAAGAATAACCTGGTTGTGTAGGGGGTGGGTAGGAAAGGTGCAGCCCTGGGGCTGGGGTGAGTGGTTGGGCTTTTCCAGCCCCAGGATCCATTCGGAATGTGTATGCATGGTCAGTAGATCAGTCTATCTATGCCTTATCTAACTGTAGTGCACCTCAGGGGAACTAAGTTAGATTGGGCTGGCTATTCCTTGACCAATTTAATCTTTAGGGAACATTTATATCAGGGTGGGCAATCACTTGGGCCTGGGGGCCACACAGGGAGTTTTGACAAGTTGTCATGGGCTGGGTCAGCACCCCAGGCCCTGCCATCACAACTCGCCAAAACTCCCTATCCAGGGCCACAGGTGGGCAGAGAGTGGTGTTTGGGAGTGAGACGGGGGTGAAGCCAGGAT